CTTTTGCCGAGATTCCCCTCGAGGCATACAACTTCATAGTTGTGTTAGGTCGACTTCGTAGTCGTAGGCTTCAATCGGCTTTATAGCCGCTTTGAAAAATTCGATTTTTCGGGTAATCATAATAAAATCGACATGGAAATGTAAGAGACACAACTTAAACTTAAACTTGGGAGTCATTGCATTACTGAATTTGATTAAGCATTGTTCAGTACAAGAGTTCAAAATACTATCCTTGGCATAAAAACGTTTGAGATGGATCACGTGCCAAGATCGCGGCAACTGTCGTCCTTCGCCATCCTCGAGTTCATATGCACCTCTCTCGAGCACTTTGGTGATGGTGTAAGGTCCTTCCCAGTTAGTTTCAAGATTCCCGACATGTTTAAGAGCACCTGCTCGTTTGAGGACGAGATCTCCAACTTGAAATCGTCTGGTGCGGACTTTTCTGTCGAAGGCTGCACGCATCTTCTGCTTGTATTCCATGGATCGCACCCAGGCCTCCTCTCGTCCTTCTTCTATCATGTCGAGGGCCTCTTCGACCATCTCCTCGTTCTTCTTTTCCTCATAAAATGTCGATCTGTGCGAATTTAAGCCGACTTCGATAGGCAGTAGTGCATTCATTCCGTAAACCATGTGAAATGGCGACTGGCCTGTTGAGCTTCTTGGGGTCGTCCTATAAGCCCATAGGACTGTTGTTAGCTCATCGACCCAAGCACCTGATGCTCTCTCCAATCTCTTTTTCAATCCTTGGAGAATTGTTCGATTAGTCACTTCGACCTGCCCATTAGCCTGGGGGTGTGCGACCGAGGCGAACCTTTGTTTTATTCCCATGTCGAGGCACCATGCTTGAATTCGTTTCCCCTGGAATTGAGTTCCATTGTCAGAAATTAGCACTTTCGGGACTCCGAATCGACAACAGATATTGTTAAACAGGAATTGGATCATTTTTTCCTCGCGTAATTTTTGCCAACGGTTCCGCTTCGACCCACTTGGTAAAATAGTCGACAGCGACTACTAAGAACTTCCTCTGCCTGTTCCCATCGGTAGTGGTCCTACCAAGTAGATTCCCCATTGTGCGAAGGGGATCGGGGTGTTTATGGTCGTCATGTATTCGGCGGGGATGTGCGTGATTTGCCCATGTCGTTGACATTTTTCGCATTTTTGAACCAGCTGCTCTGCCATGGCTCGCATCTTGGGCCAATAGTATCCTGCTCGCAGGGCTTTTCCTGCCAAGGCTCGTGATCCTATATGTGATCCGCAACATCCTTCATGTATTTCTTTCAAGACATGATTTCCTTCGTCTTCGGAGACGCATCGCAAGTGAGGCCCAACCAGAGATTTTTTGAACATGATCCCGTCGACTTCAAAGTATTTGCTTAGATATCGAGCAACCCTTTCTGCCTCCTGCTTATCTCCCATAGGTACTCGACCCTGCAGGAGTTCATGAATTGACTTTCTCCAGTCGTTTTTTTCCTCGACTTCCATCGTTTCGCCCAACACGCTTCCCTCTAAGTGCATAGTGGTGATAGAACTTCCCATCTTCCCATCATTCGAGCTCGCAATTCTCGCGAGCCAATCTGCTCGTTTGTTTTCCTCTCGAGGGATTTGTGTTAGTTCAAACTTCTCCAGGCCCTGCACAAGACTTTGGATTTCTTCGACATATTTCATCATTCGTTCTTCTTTGATCTCGCAACTTCCCAACACTTGTCAACAACTAACTGTGAGTCGGAATGCGCCACAACTTCTGACGCTCCTCCGCCAATTGCGAGTTGAATTCCTTTGATTAACGCCTCATATTCTGCTTCGTTATTTGAGGCCTTAAATCCCATTCTAATAGCAAAGTCAAGTTGCTCGCCCTCGGGTGAGACGAGAACAATTCCCAGACCTGATCCTTTGCCCGCTGAGGACCCGTCGACGTGAATGACCCATTTCTTTTCTTCCCCCTTGGTACCTTCTTGGATGAAATCTGCTAGGGCTTGGGCCTTTATGGCTCGTCTTGGTTCGTACTTGATTGAATATTCGCTCAGCTCGACTACCCACTTGACGAGTCGACCTGATACCGTGGGCCGGCCCAGTGTTTCACCTAGTTGAAAGTTCGTCCTGACTAATACCACATGGTTCAGGAAATATGGCCTTAGCTTTCTATCCGTTATCACCAGTGTCAAGGCGGCTTTCTCGATTTCAGAATATCTCGTCTCTGCACCCTGAAGAACTCGACTGGTGTAGTAAATTGGCTGTTGGACACCTCCTTCTTCTCGCAATAACACTGAACTTAGTGATACCGAACCCACAGATATATAAAGCACCAACTCGTCGCCGGGCTCTGGTTTTGTCAACAAGGGTAACTCGCCCAATAATTCTTTTAATTTTTCGAAGGCCATTTGTGCTTCGTCACTCCATGAGAAGGTCGACTTCTTCTTTAGTAATTTGAAGAACGAGAAGCTTTTTTCTGCGGCTCGAGCAATGAACCTGCTCAGCCCTGCAATTCGTCCCGTCAGAACTTGTACATCTCTTATACTTCTTGGTGGGGCCATGTCGAGTATGGCTTTCACTTTCTCCCGGTTTACCTCGATTCCACGCTCTGTGACGATATATCCCAGCAATCGTCCTGCCTTTACTCCAAAGGCACACTTGTTTGGGTTCAGCTTCATCCCGAACGCCCTAAGAGTTTAAAATGTTTCCCTTAAATCATCTGGGTGTGAGGTCGAGGCTTTACTCTTCACCAAGATATCGTCCACATATACCTCGATATTTCACCCGATCTGAGATTTGAACATTCGATCCATCAGCCGTTGGTAGGTTGCTCCAGCATTCTTAAGTCCAAAAGGCATGACGACATAGCAGTACGTCCCTTTACTCGTCACAAAGCTCACTTTACTTTGATCTTCCGGGCATAACGGGATCTGGTGGTATCCCTGAGATGCATCCATCATACTCAATAATTCGCAATCAGCCGTAGAGTCGACGAGCTGATCAATTCGTGGTAAGGGATAATGATCTTTTGGGAAAACCAAGTTTAAGTCACGGAAATCGATGCACATGCGCCATTTGTTTAGCGCCTTTCTCACCATCACGGTGTTGGATATCCACTCAGAAAATTGGATTTCTTTGACATGCCCTGCCCGCAGCAACTTATCCACCTCGACTTCAATTGCTTTGTCGATTTCTTCACCATGACGTCTAAGTCGCTGTTTTACTGGCTTTCTGAGGGGGTCGACGTTGAGTTTATGTTCCATAATAGCGGGGTCGATCCCTGTCAACTCCTCAGGGGTGAAGGCGAAAACATCCCTGAACTCCTTTAGTAGTGTGATCAGTTGGTTTCGTAGCTCGACTTTCAGATCTTTCCCGATCTTAGTGGTATGTTCCTTTGTTTCTCCGATTTGTATTTCAATTAGCTCCCCGTGTGGTTCGAGATCACTATTCCCTGGCCTTTTCT